ACAGTTGGCCTCGGCCCATCGATCCAGCCTGTCCAGGTCCCTCTGGAGAGCCTTCCTACCCTTGAGCAGATCAACACTCCCGCCCAACTTGGTGTTGTCTGCAAACCTACTGAGGGAGCACTCGATCCCCTCATCCAGATCATTGATAAAGATATTGAACAAGACCGGCCCCAAAACTGAGCCCTGGGGAACACCGCTCGTGACCGGCCGCCAACTGGATTGAACTCCATTCACCACAACTCTCTGGGCCCGGCCGTCCAGCCAGTTTTTGACCCAGCGCAGAGTACACCTGTCTAAGCCGTGAGCCACCATCTTCTCCAGGAGAATGCTGTGGGAGACAGTGTCAAAGGCCTTCCTGAAGTCCAGGTAGACCACATCCACAGCCTTTCCCTCATCCACTAGGCAGGTCACCTGGTCATAGATCAGGTTGGTCAAGCAGGACCAAATGAGTTGTTCTGGAATCATGAATGCTTCTGAAAATATACTTGCAGCATTTGTTCTCTCTCAACTGCTGTTCTTTCATCCAGACTGTTGTACAAGTAGGAAATGCTGTCTTTCATCATCATGGTACAGATTTCAGCTGCTCTGTGGTTATGCTGTAGAGACCGTGGAGCTGTTTGGGCAGAATTATTAACTACATCTACCCACTAAAGTGGGTACTACTACTACTAAAGTGCTTGCACTGCTTTTGTGGTGTGCTGGGACGGAAAAGTCATGCTTCTGCACTGCTGTACATCTACACCAGTATCCCCACCCTCTGAATGGCAGTACGATGGACAAGGTGGAAGGAGCACGTGTGGATAAGCAGTCTGCCAGGCTGAGCTAACAGATTTTCCTGACGAGCTGGAGGCTGGAGAATGTGCTGTGGAGACATCAAAGTAGCTGGAGCTGTCCTGGTCCTATTGTACTCTGAAATCCTGGTCCCATGTGGTCAAATAATTTTGTGGGGTTCTTTTGTGTCTCCCCCCCCTCTTATCTAGAATGGCTGAATGTTGGGTTTTTTTTCTCCTATTCCTGTGCCCTTTCCATGCCATGATTGTGGATAATGAAGAGCTCACTATAGATTACATTTTATGGCCATCATCATGTATTAGCCCTGACCCAGTGCTTGGTGGGAAGCGGTGGACTCTAGCCATATAGAAGCTGGTCATTTTTCTAATGGAAAAGTGCTCAGGAAGACCAAAATGGAAGCGATTCAGGAAAGAGCAGCGTGATGAAAATCTCTGCTCAGATGCCTCTTAGTGTGAAACTCTAGAAGTCTCAAGAGTGGAGAGCAGGTGTCTGTTTACTTCTCCAAGTGCAGTGCGTAGGAAACAAAGGTGGTCTTCATTGTGTAGCTGCCACAGGTCTCACAGTCCTTTATGGCTCCTGGTTCAGCACTGCACAGTAACCCTGTGTCTGATTCCCTGTTGCCTTTGGGACATGCAGATGGCTGACAGCTGGTTTGCACAGCCCTTGGTTGCACAGCCCAGCTGATCACCTGCAGACACTTGTCACAGCAGCCTTATAGGGTTGTCCAGGTGTTTCAACTGTAAGTGCTCTATCTTGCCTTACTAGGATTCCTTCAGCTAACTGCAAGGCATGAACACGAGGGAAAAATTAGATACATATTTATGTTGTCACATCTTTGTGTCAGCACGTTATATATAAACTGCAGTCATCAGGATTACTTAATCTGAGATTAAATGTGTCTCACTGAAGAGTGCTTGGCCTCAAGTTTTGAAAGGGTCAGCATTCAACATTTTGCATGTGCAATGCTCCTGAACCGAAAGCTCTCTCTGGCAGGCTGGACCACCAGCAGGGCTTTTAGCCTACAGTGAGCTTAGCAGCCCCACCTGTCAGCCTCCCCATTTCTCCGTGCTGTAGAAACAGGAAGGGTTTATCAGTATTAATGATAAACAGACACAGTATTGTGGTTTAACTAGTATGCAAAAATTTACTGTTGGAGAGGAGTTAATCGTGTGTTGAATTTAATATTAAACCCTAGCAAGTTACTTAATAGCTGTCACCTGCGATAAATGCAACCTACCTGCATTGCTGCTTGCAGACGCTGTTGCTGCTGGTTGGCAGTTACTACTCTGAAGTCTCTTAAATGTAATCTGCAATCCCTGTTAGCTGCAACAAAAAGAAATAGGTCCAAAGCGACAATATAAATAGGTTCTCAAACTACAGTATAAAGCATTGCTTAGTCATTTTCCCATCCCATTAAAACTTCTTTTTAGTCAAAGTGGCCTGAATTTGACCAGGCTGAGGAACAGATTTAGTTGTTTTACATCTCTTCATCTCTTCTGGTGACTGCAGTAACTTATCTCTACCAAGTGCATGACTGAAAATTTGAGGTGGCTTGATTTATTAGACGGTTTTCTGGGTTTTGGACAGATGCTCCCAACCAGGACTTTAAGCTATGTAAAATTATATGTGTGTAACAGATATTCTGACCAGGTCATTATATCAAGTTATTCTTTAGAGTGGATATCCCAGCACTCTGTGTAAAATTTTGGTACTTCTCTGTCTAGGTACCAGAGAGCCATTTCTAGCACGTTAGCATTTTTAACATGAAAACTAATTAAAAAACCTGCAAAAACAAGGACAAGAACAAAACAGCAAAACCAGAACACCTGGGCTTTCCAGAGATTTTTGTCAAAAAGTTTGGCTGACTTTAGAAGGATGTGAACTTTTACTAGAGCTTTCCCACCACTTAGAAAATCTCTCCCCTGCCTGAATACTCTTCATGGTGATTTTGCTCCCTTGTCCTCACAAGGGGAAGAATTGAGAATAACCCTTTTCTCATCATCTTCCATAAAACCTGTCTAATCTTTATTGTCTCTAACCTCTGTTAAGCTGGGCTGAAGTTGGTCAACAGGCTCAAATGTTGTTTGAATGGTTGCAGAGCATGACCACATCAGCCTGCTTCCTTAACCAGTGCTCATCTCTCTGAACTTCTGCAAACTTTTCAGGGTTCACTTCTATAAAAACCTTCTCTGTGTTCTGCACTCAGTACCTGCCGCTGCTTGCAAGGTCACATGAAGTTATGTGTATTGCTTCCCCTGTTTGTTTATAGTATATACAGCTGCATAGATGCAAATCATTATAATCTGCTTTTATTGCATTGGTATCATACAGGGACAGTCAGATGATATTTACTTTTCTATTCATAAAATGGGCCTATCAAACTTACAGGGACACACTGTGTAACCTCAGGGTTCAGAAGGAGTGACTTGTCCTACAGTCTTATCTGTGTAAGCTCTAATCATTGAGAAATGCAGAGTATGAGTAAAAGGAGGGAGGCCACTGGGTGGGTGAAAGCCATAAAACAGTGGAAAAATTCATGTGCAAGTTAATACTGGAAGTGAGAAGTGTGGGTTTGTAAGGAAGTGACCTGAAGCAATGAACAGCACCTAGAAGATAAGTTGTACTTCTGTGTATTTTCTTTTTCTTAAAAGGACAAATGAATGGCCAGTAGAACTGAAGATCAGTAAGCTGGTCCTGTCCTGACACGGGTCAGACCTGGCGAGCCTAGCCCATGTCTCTCTGATGCTGTATTGCAGTGTTTGTGAGGCTGCATGAAGACGTTGTGTGATTATTTAGTGACTTCAATGCCTGTTTCTGGTGTGTGACTAATGGCATAATGACATAAGCCTAACAGGCTAATGAATGGGAACAGAGAAAAATTTTCTGTGTCTTACAAATTCCTGGTAATATTACTGACTTTCTTGTGATGTTAACATGTGCAAAGAGTTGTACGTGTTGTAAGCACTGGTGAACACTCAAATACTTAGGAATTTTTTTTTTAATGCTACATTTGTCATCTAACCACAGAGCAAAACCTGGTGAGCCTGTTGCTCAGCCCTCTTCCCCTGCTAGTATGTCTGAAGCAACAGTATGAAAAGGGCTACAAAGAAGGCAGTTGTATCCCTTCTGTGGAAAATAGCAACTGGTTTGGGCAAAATAAAAAGGGAAATGAAAAACTTGACACTAGGTGCTTCTTAGAGCTTAAGTCTGGTGGGTTTTGGCATATTAATACTCATCCTTGTGAAGGCACATGATGCCACATATTGACCATCAGGGTAAATGTTATTTTTTTATATGTCTGTGTGTATGTGTGTGTGTGTGTGTGTATATAGGAAACCATCACAATTGGACATGATGCTGGCAGTGGGAATGGAGCCCATACATTAGTAAAGCTTTCACTGTAGTGGCAACCCTGTTCTGGAATTGCCATTTTATAAAACTAGGGCCTCAAACATATGGTGATAAAAATAGAGTGCCAGTGGTGATTATGTTTACCTAACTGTGATCTAACAAGGTTTTCTCTGCATTTTTCCCTTTAGCAAAGTATCCAGAGATCAAGACTCTGATGCGACCGGATCCACATTTAAAGTGGATTGTATCTGGAATGGTTTTCATGCAGTTTCTAGCATGCTATCTGGTGAAAGACTTATCTTGGAAATGGATTTTCTTCTGGGCTTATGCTTTTGGGGGTTGCATCAATCATTCGCTGACCCTAGCCATCCATGATATTTCACACAACGTCGCCTTTGGAAACAAGCAGGCCAGGTGGAACCGATGGTTTGCAGTCTTTGCCAACTTGCCGATTGGCATTCCTTATTCTGCCTCCTTCAAGAAATACCACATTGACCATCATCGGTACCTTGGTGGGGACAGCCTGGATGTGGACATTCCCACGGACTTTGAAGGCTGGTTCTTCTGTACGCCACTTCGGAAACTGCTTTGGCTTTTCCTCCAACCTCTGTTCTACAGTCTGAGACCACTGTATGTGAACCCCAAAGCAATTACACGGATGGAAATTTTTAATGCTCTCGTCCAATTTTCTATAGACCTTATAATTTACTACCTTTGGGGGCTCAAACCTATTGTTTACTTAATAGCAGGTACAATTCTTTGCATGGGTTTACATCCCATTTCTGGGCACTTCATAGCAGAACACTACATGTTCTTAAAAGGGTATGAGACATACTCTTATTACGGACCTCTGAACTGGCTCACCTTTAATGTAGGCTACCACATGGAGCATCATGACTTCCCCAGCATTCCTGGATGCAGATTGCCAATGGTAAGTATGGCATGAGCATGAGTGAACTGGATTTTTATAAAAGCTGCTAAACTGTCTCAAAGAAATCACTCCAAATCATAGCAATGGATCAATTTTAAAAAGAAAAAAAAAAAAAAGGAAAAAAGAAGAAAGCTTTTTGGATTTGTTTCTAATGCTTTCATTTTAAGCAGGAGATTAAGAGAAATGGCTGCCAAACTGCTGTAATATTTAGTTCATTTGATGGAAACGAGAACATCTGAGCCTCAGAGGGCTTGAGGAATACTTTTTGCATGATTAAATCCTCCAACAATGCTCTAAATTTCTCCATTTCCTTCCCTCGGTGACCAGGTTTTGTCTCTGAAATTTTAAAGGCCCATCTAAAGTGAAGCAGGTGGCAATTACTACTTGAAATTTGTCTAATGATCAATCTGCTAAATATATTGCTTGATTAACATCAAACAAAAGTCTTTTGAGATGACATAAGTATCGGGGCATGTTCCAGCCTGATGTAAATAGCACTAGAAAATAAAGCCCCGCTCTACACAACTTGTTTTAGCTCTGCTGCCCCACCCACAGAAACTGAGGATGCCTGATCTGTCATTAGGAAAGTGCTGTGGCTTTCCTCTTTTGAAAGTTAAGCCCCTTTTTGTTTACGTTTTATCAGTTGTGGGAATCAAATTTGCAAAGCCCAGGTGTCTAGGAATGGTTTTCAATCTCCCTCCAGGTATGTAGCTGCTCTTATGGGTTTTAATACAAGGGTTCCTCAGCAGGTGCTCACAAGTGTTAGAGGTACGTGACTTCAAAGTATTACTCCTACATAAAAATCCTCTGGCATAGTAGGAAGGAAACATCTCTGTCTCTGGTCTGATGCAAAGTTGGGGGCTACTACTGGAACACCCTCATGAGGTGGAGGTAGAGCTGAGGAGGCTGAGGTTCAGGAGCTGTGACCTCCCCACTGCTGCATAACATGTACAACTTTTATGATGGTATATCCAGGCAAACCCTGCTTTATGGGTTGATGTTCTTCATCACAGAAGAGGATGACTGAGAAGAGATTCAAAAGAGGAGGAGGAGGTGTAGAAGAGCGTGGGGAGGCTCTATATAGTCTGCAGTTCTGTTTTAACGCACCTCCTTCACTGCTGGAGGTCTGTCCTGGAGAAGCTGGCCATTCCTGGTGGGGTTCAGAGCAGCCAGTAAAGCAGCCCACGCTCACATGTGAAGTTCTCCTGTCAGGCACTCCCATTGCTGATACACCCGATAGTTCAGCTGGGAAGTGTATGAGCTTAGCTTTAGCTTCAAATGTTCAAACTTGTTAGATAGGCTTAGATACTTAGATTACTGAAATGTAAATAGAAGAAGAGAAGGAGGTTAGCTCTGTATCTTACACAAGGGAGGTGAGTGACTAATTGAACTTGCTGGGAATGTTGCTCCAGACCTGAATGAGACCTGAAAAGCACATCTCCGCCCACATCACAAATAGTTCAGCCTAATTCCTCGAGGCAGTGCAGCAGCTGGAAGTGTCTGCCCTCCTGTGTAAAGAAGATAGAGTTATTAGTTGAATTTCATGGGCTCGTGTTCATGTGTTTCTAGCTCTTGGGCAACTGAGGCTTGCCCTGCTGGTGGAGGAGGTATCAGGCTTGTCAATCGTTGTTGCCTGGCAGAAATATATGGAAAACTTCGAATCTTTGATGAGTGATCAACTACAAGTGAAAATCTATTACGAAGTGAAAATCCTTTGGCAGAACAGTTACTGTAGAAAATCCTTTGTCCATTAAAAGAACTTAGTTATTCTCTTCTGCAAATTGAGAAGAAAAAGTCTCTGCCTTTTTGGTGGAAGGAGATAAGGGGACAGATCCGCTCTGGATAGCTTTAATGCTTGAACTTCATAACAGGTGGGGGTAGAAACCTCCCCTTGCTCTCCTCTGCTTAACCTCCCAGCAAATTCTTCACTCAGCAAATGTCTATCTTTTTCAGAGCTAGTCTCCTAGGCACTTGAACTTCTAATAGTTGAATTGTGTAGTACGGATGACCTCTCAGTATAGCTATTTTTATTTTTAGTTATTGGCAGGTATTTGGTTCCTTCCTGATTGAGAGCAGGGGAGAAATAGGATCAGAGAATAACTGGATCTTAATCTTGGAAAGTAACTGTCTCTTCCACTTGCTTATCAGAAAAGTAAATTCAGCCTTGTCCTTTGTTACAGACGTCTCATTCAGAATGTTCTGAGTAATGTGTTTGCCACTGGAAAGACCTTTACCCTAGGAGTGTGACAGATTTGAAAGCGGAAGAATTAGGCTGTGCTGTAAGCTTATAGATATTAAAGATGAGTGACATGAGTGTGCAGTAAGAACTTGTCCCACTAGTATAATGAGAGATTATGCAAGAGACCACAAAATTTAACATTCTAATGAGGGACCTGCTCTGAAAAAAACCCTATAGACTTACAACTAGATTAGTCTTTGCTTGAAGCCTTATAACTGTAAAATATTGCATTGTTTACCAAATGAGTAAAAAATCCATTCTTCATTATCTGAAGGATTGAATATCCTTATGGAGAGAGGGGGCAGGAGAAGAAGGAGGAATTCGGTACTCTTCCTACAAACTGCAATAAAAACTGCAGTGTTACCAGAGGCAAGCTAGTTACTCATTAAACTTGTGGGAAAAGGAGAAGACATGGTATGAAACCAGATTTATTAGACAGACAAAACTGGAAAACATGGTAGATGTGCTGGTTTTGAATTGCAGATTTCATTAACCCTGTGATGGCCAGGAGGGCTAGCTTGAGCACTACCCCCCCGCCGCGGTCAAGGACTATGGAGGGAACTTCTGCAATAAGCCTTCTAGCATTCTAAACATCATTTTTCAGCTTCTTGTCATAATGCTCTGTAGCTTCTGTATAGCCCCAGGACAAAGGGTCTGTAACAGCCATGGTGAAACACTAGGTTGCATTTAACTTCTGCGCCTATCTGATACCATGGAGTAGGATTGGGGTTCTGTTGCTGTGTTCTACAAGCACAAAACCAGAAGCAAAGTTTGTCTAAAAGATGTGATTTCTTACCTACCACCCTGATCTACTTGAAGAAAAGCCTCAGTATACTAGGTGCCAAGTGCCTAATAAGCTTCTTGCAGGCATTGTGATCTCTCATCCTTTCATGATAACTTCCATTCACAAACTAGCAATGACTTAGAGTTGAGATCTGTAAGGAGGAAGAGAGGGGGAATTGAAGTAAATGGACCATCTCCAATGCAATGTGGAGAGCTTGAGGGGGCAAGTCAGGAGCAGGATCTAGGAATACTTTCTCACAGTACCATCCTCTCTGCCATGATCTATGATCTGGCTGCAAAACTTGCTACCTGGAAATGGCCATCCGCAGGTTTTGTACTGCACCCAGAATGCAACATGGAAGATGACTCTTCCAGCCTAAAATATACTTAATAGATGTAGTTTAATGTTGTATTTAAAAGGGAATCTGCATTAAACCCCAATTATTTTCACCCCCCCACTCCACAGATTTTCTGGTAGGTAAGGAGATAATTTTGTTTTAAATACGGAGATGCTGAAACAAATCACAATAGATGAGGTGTTTTTGTAAGGAAACTTTTTTGTGTTGATCCATTGTAAAAGAGAAACTACTTTGAAAATTCATTTCTGCCATGTGAGAGCAAAATGGGAACAGGCACCTAACAAACTTCCTTGTCTTTTCCATACAAAAACCCTTCAGAAGTCCTCCCTCTAACTGTATTCATTAAAATTTCCCTCTTCTCCATTCCCTTGTCAAAAACATTTTATTGCAGTTTACCTTCTCCTCTCTGTTGTTTCTGTACATCTCATACAGTTGTCCTGCCCAGAGTACAGGGACCTTGCTGATGGCGCAAATGCTGCCTGCCTTCCTGCACAAGGTGCCGCTGGGCACAAAGCCAAGCAGGAACAAAGAACTACTTCATGTAGGTGTGAGTCACTGTCCCACAGCTGATCTAGGGTAACACACTCCAGTGCAAGCCCCTGGTCATCTCTTGTGGTATCCATACTGGGCTTCTCATTCAGAATGAGCTGCCACCATACTCTGCAGGAAGGTGCTAAACGGACATGGTTGGTGAACAAGGAACTCCTCCACACCTGATGCTGGCAAGCAGCTTGCCAGCCATGACTGGGCTGCCTGCTTCCAGAATGGGGTGTGTATGATCTTCTCCAAAATTCACTGCTGGGTATTTTGATTAATCGTCTTAATTATCCAATAATACTTGTATTCTAGGTGCCTGTTTTAAATCTGTGATACAACTGCAGAGTATGTGTATGGAATATATTGAAGTGCAAGTTTCCAGACTTGCCTGTTGTGTCCACCTGAGCTCTTCAGCACTATGCCCAGACTATACTGCTGCTCGTGTTTGCTGAAAGTGTGGAAACTATTGGGTTGAACATAGGCTGTTTATTGGCCTCTTCTCTGAGCCATTTTTTCCTACTTCGTCACTGGGGTAATTTTTAGTCAGCCTTTGGTGCCAGAGGGCACAGCCACTGCCTGAGACATTGTTCCTAGGAGCTAAACTGGTTTCTGTGAATTTCCAGCCCTCCACTTTCATGTGCAAGGGGCAATACAGAAAGACTTTCTGAAGCCCTCGTAGTGGTCATAGTCTAACATGATCAAGAGCTCTGTAGAATAATGTAACTAGCTGAGAAAACGTGTCTGGTTCAGACCATTGTTTCTGTGGGCAAGAAATCTATGGGGGTTCTGGAGAAGAGGGAAATGGGAGACTTGCCATATGAACTTGGCTAGTATAGATGAGGGCTGAATTACTGTTGCAAGTCAAAATTCAGGCAGAACTTCAAAAATGGAGGTAGGAGGGAAGGTCTGTAAGCAGCAGTGTGCTAGGGAATGACCATGTCAGAGCTGGAGTGAAGCTTTTGGGGCTGGGTATCTGAAACCCCCTTTGTGTTTGCACAAGGCCTCATTAGTGGCTTTCGTTCAAGGGAGTCAAGGGAGCTTACTGTCTAAATAGTCCTCCCTCTCATCCTCTAGCTATTTCAATTACCCAGCTGGGAAAAGGGAGGATACAAACCCCAGATTAAATTGTTTCTGACTGTGGTTACAGAAGGAGTGCAGGGAACTAAATCTGCATCTCCGGAGATCTTACCCAGTGCCTGGAAATCACCCTTCTTCCAGTCATTAACAAATACCTCTAAGGGGAAATGCTGATATTGTCTGAATCCCACTGAAAATGAACCACATTTGAAGTACAGACCAACACTTTAAAGCAGGATATAGGGAATTATGAGGAAGTCAGAGGTATTCAGTGAAAGGCAGAATACAGTCAGACCTGAACTGAATCTTCCACCTCCAACATGGCACTACCATGCCACGAGCATAAGGAGTGCATAGAGGCTGAGGTACAGAGGTAAAAGATCTTAACGAAACCTGTACGTTACCCAACCTACCTCACAAGGAAGTGTCTGCTAGGAAGCTGAATAAACGACGTAACTAGCAGTGAGCCGTACTGGCTTATAATTTAACTTTTGCTGGGATTCTTACCTTTTCACAAACAGTCAAAATGCTGTGTTAGGATTCCACCATTACACCTCGGATGCTGATGAGACCCTCCTCCCGGATGACAACTTCTGTGTAACCCTTTTGCTCTTCACTGGAAGTCTGTACTGTGCTTAGCACAGCTGGCTTTAAAATTCTGCAGGGTTTTTAAGGAGACAAGTCATGCTGTCCAGCAAGACAAACTACTCTGGAATAGAGTTGTGTTTGTCTAGGAGGTGGAGCTGTAATAAAACCATGCCCAAACAGTTTAGGTGCAAGTGTACAATAGTTAACAGACTCTGCTGCTTCATAAGCGTGTTCAAAAAGCAGAGCATCTAGCTGGAGCAAGGACTACTTATAACTTGGGAATCCTCATAGTCCCCTGAACCTGCCAGGTTTGAAACCTCTTTTTGTCCTCTAGTTCTGGCCTTACTCCCACTACAAGCGCCACCCCCAATGATGTGCAATGCTTCTCTGATGGCAACAGTCTTAAGACTTGGGGATTTGTAACAGGGATGAAATTTTATTAGACTTGTGATCTAATAATGAATCTTGCAGTATTTTTAACAGCGACTGAGGAGAACGGTCCACCCCTGCAATTTCCTCTGCCTGCTGGAGGAACCCGTCTCTCAGATTTGCATCACGGTAGCAGAATGGAGGAAAGAAAACGAAGTGTAGGCAAGGCTGTGTCTGGCATTTTCTCCATTGGTACTTCTCTCCTACCCAGAACCCTCAGCAGACGAGTATTACGAGTGGTGAACAGGGCTTTAAATACAGTGTGTTGGAGTCTTGGCAATTTATAAGGTGGATTAGTCATCTCATTGTGCAGATCCCTCCACCTCCGAAATGAGAGAAAGAGAGAAAATAGTTCTGACTGAAGGCAGCGATCCATGATCTTTCAAATTCTGTCATTGTGAGGCAAAACTTACATCAGAAACCTGCTAAGAAGTGTCTAAATGTATTTAAGTACATCTCATTTGGCTGAACTGCAGAAGCTCACAAGCAATAACAAGTAACTTCAGGTTATGGCTGTGCTATCAGATCTGAACGTGAAAACTGAAACACACCCGACACTGTGCAGCTAAGCAGCTCATTCTCTCTCTTCTTCTTCCAGGTGAAGAAGATTGCAGCAGAATATTATGATAACCTCCCACATCACCAGTCCTGGATTCGAGTTCTGTGGGACTTTGTTTTTGATGACACTATTGGTCCTTATTCAAGGGTTAAGAGACTATGCAAGCTGGCAAAAGAAAGCTAAGGGACTGCTGCATTGGTGTTTTGTTTGTTCATTTGAATGAATTGAGTTTTCTGCAGAAGTAGAGGATGTTTGTGTGTGCTGAATTAGCGTTGGTGTGTGCTCCTTAGGCCAAGAGGATGAGTGTGAAAATGAAGGAATTGGATGCACTATTTTAGACTATTGATACTTTTTAATAAAGGATATTTGTGTGTGTAATGCTGAGAAACTAGATTAGCGTGAGCTATGATTATGTGAACCTTTGGTCTAAGCTTAGAATTAACTTCCTGGGCCACGTGTGCCTAAGTCTGAGTTTTGCCCTGGTCTGCAACGGAGAATGCTTGGTGCATGTATGTGTGAGCGTGCGTGTGTGTAGTTTAGGACTGGTTTCTCTTCATGCCAGATTAGATGTAGATGCTCTGCGTGCACAGGACTGTGGAAGCAGGGAGGACTGGCACGCGGTAGTAAATGATACTTTCTGGAGAACACAGGGGTGCCTTTAGCTCAACGGCTTGTCTAATCTAATCTCTTCTGATAATTGCTGGTAGCAGAGATTTTGTATATGCAATGGAGTATGTGTATATTTTTGTACATTTGTATCATTATTTTAGTAGCTGCTGTTTGACCTTTATTCCAGGGCTTTGTCTAAACCTTTTCTGAATGCATTTCTATTCTTAGCATCTAATACTCAGTGTAGCTAACTGGCAGAGCTGAACTGTGGCGTGGAGAAACCCTTCCTTTAGTCTTCCACTTGCGCCAGATCAGCAGCATGGATGTGCCCCTGGAGGAAATGGGTGGTCCTTTCTCACTCACCTTTTCAGCAGTATTCATAACTTCATGTTTCTCATCCTTTTCCCCACTGTAAGTCCTTCTGGGAATTGAAAGGTTCTAGTTTTAATTGCTGCTTGCCAAGGTTGTTAATATTCCTTATCACCTTTCTTGGTCTTCTCTGTATAATACCCCTTTCTGTGCATAGGAGTTAGGAGTATGTGTCAGTGAAGACGTGGAGACGTTATGGTGATATTTGTTCCTAATAGCTTTCAGAATAATTGTAACTTTTTTCCTCTGTCATTCAAGGGGCACCGACTTGACATTTGGGAAGCATATGTATATGCTTGTATGTATATGCTTGTGTGTATATGCTCCAGCTATATAAAAGTTGCCACTGATGGTGTTAAGGGGATATAGCTGGAACATGGAGCTGGGGTTGTTTCTCTCCCTACGTGTCTGTCTTTACGCTATTGACATTAACCTTCATCGCTCATTTCTGCCCACTGGAATAGTTAAATCTCCCTGCCTGTCTTCTCCGACTATCAACTTCTGGCTATTCTCAGTAATTCTGTATCATCAAAAACCTTAATCACCATACCTTTCTCCAAGCAGAACAATACCTTGGGAGTCAGGAGCTCAGATGCCATCTAATAACTTCCCTCCACCCTGGAAAGCTGACAACTTATTTCTGTCCTTACTAAGTGGTTAAAAGAGGATAGATCTATAAAGGTTCTCTTATACCCTAACCCTCTAACAGTTTGACATTTTTGTTTTGTTCTGGAAATCCATGTCTGTAATAAAGAAAAGGATCGTTCTGCATTCTCATTGGTCCCTCAAAGTATGCTATTAGACCTGGGAAGCCTGATTTCCTCAATAAACACAGTTTCATTCCTTCCTCCTACAGCACTGGATCCAGTAAGGCAGTCTGTCCGTTTGCTAGCCTGGCACACCAGGCAGCCAAGCTAGCCTGCAGCAATTTGGGTTCCTCCTCCTCCATTTCCCTTATCTGTATGGTTTTGGCAGCTGAGTAAATACCCAGGTTTGCTCAGCAGTGCAAGATCCTTTGTGATGCAGGGGCTGAATACCAGTTCATTCACAGATATTGTTTTGGTCTGGTTCTTTTTCTGGAAAAGAAGAGGAGGAACGGGATTTCTTCTGACACTTCAGACTTCACTGGTTCTTCAGGTGCCTTTTCTCCCAAAGGAAGTAGCTTTGGCGTGGGAACCTCCATTGACTTGTGTTGCTGCTCATGTCAGGAGCTTCACTTTTTCATTAATTTACTTCAGTGTTGCTGGCACTCCATGATCACTTATTCAACTTCCCGTGTCCTTAGCAAGCTTGGCCAACTTAGCAAGTTAATATAAAAACCATAATAAAGATTATGCTATCTTCCTCAGTTTGACTATTGTCCTTCTCCTCTATGGAGAGTGACCTTTCTATAGTTCCCTTACACAGCTGATCCATGATGCAGTCACCTCTAGTCTATAGATTACTAGCCTAGCCTGACACAGAGGCTATGGTGTAAACAGAAGATAACCAAAATTGACAACCGCTTCTCATCCTGCCTTCCATCAGCATTTCTGTCACTGTCCCACCTTGCTTTGCCTGGGCAGCCCCACAGCCCTCCTGCTCTGCACTGTCCATCTCAGCGGGAATTTGAAGTGGCTGGAAGCCTGGTGCCTGCAGGTGTGTGGTGCAAGATGAGTTTCAGTGTGTGTGGGTGCTGCCGGAGAAGGCTGTGATCTTGTCCGCTCCATGGGCGCTTGTCCTTGCCACTACCAGTAAAGTTGGCAGAAAGGGGTTTTTTTTGTAACCACAGGGCAAATGGGTCTGGGTTAAAAGAACGCTGGGGCTATGTATAGTTTTATTCTCTTTGCTTAAAAATTAATCCAGATCCCCTTCATTGTGTGGCCACACTAATGCTCTGGCAAGAGGAGATCGGAGGGACAAATAGCTGTATGACAGGTTGGAGCGGAGGTTAATGCCCCTTTTGATTTCTGTTGATGTAAAATGCCTGTGGCCTGCCCTGTTGCAGCGGTACCCTTAACAAGCCCAGCATGAAGGGACACCCTTTTCTACAGAGGCAACAGGCAAACTGAGTTAGTGTCTGGGAGGGGGAAATCCTCTGGCAGTGCCACTGCTGCAGATAAGCCGCCCTGCGCATCCCTGTCGTTGGAGCCGTAGGCTGGGAACCAGCAAAACACTGGTGATGCCAGGACTGCTCCCCTGCCCCTATCAGCCAAGCTTCCCCTTCCACCCCCGTGCACCTTGCTCCCACAGCTGTTAAGTGGCCCTGTGCAAACTTCAGCTCATTATGTCTTAATGATATGAGTCCTGCAAAGGTAGAAGAAAGTAAGGAAAACTCATTTACAGCAGGTGGCTGATGTTAACAGAGGGGCACGCCGTATCCAGGCTGTACACTTGGCCTGAATTACCACGTGGTTATTACTGACCTTAGGCATAATGCCACATTCCAAGGCAAAACATGAACCATGCCAGGCCCCAACTTCCTGAAGCTTAATTAAGGTCACGGGAGAGTTTCACAGAACGGTTGTGATCATCTGAGAGGCAGCAGTTTTGCAAAGTACTTGCCATTGTCAGGTATGCCATTACATGGGTTTATGATTAATAAATGCATGAACTACTGTATGAGATTTATGCAACAGAGCATTGTAATCTTTGCTGTTACTGATGCTTGTCTGTGTTCTTCCTACGGGAATGGCTCCTTCTCCTGGTCCTGGCGTTGTCATAGTGTTGCACATCAATGCCTGCCTGCTTTAGTTCCCATGTGGAAATCTTACGCCACTGTCTAACCTGTCTCTTGCTTTCTGCTGGCATTAAACAGCTAACAGACATCAGGCTCAGTCTGGACCTCACCATTGCATTAAACTCAAATTTCTCCCATTTTCCCCATATTTAATCTACAGTATAACCACACTAAAAAACAGACTGTCTTCTAAAGGGCAGATGGGGTTGCTTTGAAGAGTGCTGAAGGACAACCCCACATTCTCCAAGCCAAAGCAGATAACATTTTACAACTAACTGCAAAGCATGCTCCACCCCGCCTCCTCTCCTGGGTCTCCTGTTGCCGGCAGGCAGTCCCTCCTGCCTGCTGCTGTGCTCTGTGAGGCCTGGGGGATGCGAGCAAGGGGACAGCCACAGCCTCTCCTGGGCTGCTGCATCAGGCTCTGCTCCCGAAACCGTTCCCGGGGCCGGGCTTTTGAAATGAAATCTTCAGAAAGGCCTGAAGCAATGCAGGGGGGCTTGGAAAATATTTGACAGTTTTCAATAGCTGATCTCCAATCTCTTGCCTTTTGCACAAAGTTATCAAGAAGATGGTATCAAGACTACTGCCATGTAAAGCTTGCGCCAAACTAAGTCAAGCAGAAATTCCCAAGATCGCGCTGGTGGAAAGAATGGCTCTAAAGAAAAAAATTGTATGACCTGAAAGATACGACTGGGTGTGCGCTGTTAAGTGTTCGGCATCCTGTACTCATATCTTTGACTTCACTTTCTGTGAAATAAAGCTCATGACCTGCATAACATTAACAAATGAAATATGTGAGATATTAACAAATGACTCCCCTTAAGCCTCTAGTTCAGCAGTGCTGTGCCAGTGATTTCAGCTTGCATCTTCCTAATGCCTTCGGTAGCCTTGTTCTGCATAAATACTTCCCTTTTATTTACTGGAAGCCCTTAGGAGTGCAGGTGATGGGATCCGGGTTTTTTCCAGTGGTGGCAGGAGATGCAGTGGGACAGTTAGTGGTGGCCTGAGAAGAGCCATAAGCCACTGTCCTTCACTGACTTTGGCAAAAAGTTGCTGAGGTTGCCTCAGCCTGAGTGCAAGAAGTGGTGCTCAACTGGCGATGCGAGGAGGGCCAGGCAGGCGAGAGCCACGTCTCCCTGTAAAAGAAGGCAGGGCTGTTGCCGTTGCACCAGCTGTAAGACACTCGGGCTCTCTCCTCGTGCCCTGTGGCGCTGGCCGGGCACAGCTGCCACCCCACGGTGAGTCTCGGTCACCTTCCTTTCACCATCAACCCAAGTGACATAAAAGTGTGGGAGCTCAAGGGACGAATGAAACAAAGAAAGGCAGGGCCATGTGGACAATAAACAGTTTATTACCAATATGAACACAGATACTGTGATGCACTGACGTACCATTTTTTTTTATATTGTGATAACTCTGAGACAAAGAACTGGTTGGCTGACAACTAACATGTCTCTGTTTCTTCTGGTGATGCCACAATACATTTCTGTTGGCAAAGGATCTTCATTTACATTGCAGACTACTAGTAAAATTACTTTGAAGTCATCTATCAAAAGCAAATGGTTCACGTGTGTTCTTATCTACTACTAAAAAGAAAGGTAATACATTTAAATAAGCAAATACAAAATACAAAAAAGGCTGACAAATCCAATGTGCAGTGTCAGATGAAATCTAAAAAATCCAGAAATTTAAAATTTAATATTCTTTAGATTAAGACTTTTAAAATGAAGCGAATCCAAGGCAGCAGCAAGCTTCAAAGTGTGCTGAGTCTGCTAATAAAAAGGGTATAAGAACAAAGACAGTGCCGGTGTCCTCTCTCACCATCTTGCATGACCTTGGTACACTTAGAAATGATCCGATCTTCCTAGCATTCTTAGTACCGTCCAAATGCTTTGCAATCATTATGTTGTACTGATTCTACTCAACTCCTGCCGTATGGCTAGAAAACCAAACCAAAAAGTTAATGCATAATGTTATACCCAGTGTGACGGAAAACGCTAAGTATAGAGCTTGCAGAAAGTACACGCTGGTAAAAAGATGAGTGGAGGGTAAAAGGATGAGTAAGGGTAAGCAGTCAGCTGTTTGCTTGCAAACTGCAGTACTGGCTTAAGAAGTCGCATCTGTGATTTACGTGAGTGTCTCATTTTGCACTGGAATGAACTAGGGAGGCTCTGAGGGCCAAGCTGCTGGGGCGGTAGCGTATGGGCGAGGGTGTCCTCAACTGCAAACTGCCCCGAGGTTTTGTGAGCACACAAGTCTAGGGCAAGGGGACAGGGAATGGATTTTAGCTGTTTTACAGTCTCCTCTTTTTCCCCTTCTGTGTGAATCAAAGATGGGGAGTGCAGGCTATGGACATGCATCTTCATATGCCCTAATGCAGGCTTCAAATAGGTATTCTGCTGTGCAAAATAATGGCCCTGAAAAATACATTTAGTCGTATATTGCAGAGCAATTTATAAAAAAGTACTGATACATTTAGTACAGCTGTTGTACTTTTCAATGAAATATAAAAATACGTGGCTACTTGGAAAGCTGTAATCGAGTGAAGGTCTGAAATAGCTCTTCAAGCATAGGAAGCCTACAGAAGATGCTCAGGAAGGATTTTCAGTTTAGTACCTTTGTCCCCTCCTCATCCCGGACCTGTGTGGCTGGCTAGTTACATGCGATTTCACGCTCCCTGATTGTGATAAATTGACATGCCACGGGCTACGGGCAGGCCCTTTCTCACCCTCCCACCTGTGAGAAACACCGGCCAGTGAATTTCTCACAGGTTAGGAGTGAAAGTGCTCGTCAACAGCATAAAAATAAAGGATGTAAACACAATGTCATGATCAGAGCTCAGATAAGGTAGATGCTTGTTCTTCAAATGTGTATATAAATCAGAGCTGCTCAGAGAAGTCTGAAAACACCAGGGAAGTCTCTGCAGTTCCTATCATCTTATCTACAGGAAATTAGTCATAAAGATGAGAAAAATAATAATTTTTCTCTTTCTTACCATCAATTATCTCCTCTTTCACTTTGTGTAACTCTCTTACAACTTCCTCCAATATTTCCTGATGAGACAAAACACAAGTCAGCTGCTCAGAATTTCCTTCTAACCGGTGGAAGAAAATGCAAGTTTAACACGGTTGTGCTTGTCCCCCGCCTCCACTGACGATCAGAGCCTAGCACTACTAACAGCTACGTCTGCACTCCCAGGCCAAGGACGCAGAAGGTGCTGACATATTTATTTGCATGTTCTGTACAGACATCTTGATCAAATAGCAGTGAGATTGTGCTCTCTTGCTGCTCAGCAGCTAGCCCTTCTCTAAGCACCTAGTTATAGAGGAAACCAGAAGACTGAACAGCTGTTTTGCTTGTACAGCGCATGCATGGGGGAAAATGGGTAGCTCGTCAAATCGCTTAAGTGCAAAAGACCTTTTCGCTCACCTGTTTCATTCGATCAAAATCTAAGGCATCCATAGCCACATCATTGCTGCTGCTCACTGGCTTCATCCTTGAGAAATGGAAGAGGAGGACAAAAAAGCAAGTCAGTTCCTTGCAATGCACGGTAAGCTACACCCACCTGACAGTGTGGATGAAATCCACCCCAGAGCAGGAACACCCGTGTTTGAGCGCTGGACTGGAGGCTCCCTCTTGTGCCGCTCAGGAGTGTTTGGCAGCCGGAGAGCAGCACTGCTCCTGTTTGCACAGCCTGACCCTCAAAGGTGCTGCTTTCTCCTCTTGCAGACATATTGAAGGGAGCACAAAGACTGCACTGAAACCTAATTTACTCTTTTTTTTTTTTGGTGTTGAGAATCTTGGTGATTTCAGACTAGAAAATGCTGAGATGTCTTCAGGGGATGAAGCCTGTTTAACAATGTATTTCATTACAGCACTTGCAATTTGCAAGCTAGGTGTCTGGTTTTCTCTCACAGTGTTTTCTGTACAGCAACCCTGTCTTGGTCACCTAGACTTTAATCGGATGCTAAAGTAATAGTAGAATACAGGTTAGAAAAATATTATAGGGAAAATAATAACCCAGTAAACCTTTCCTTGGAAGGCCTGACTGAGTCAAGTGGAGCTTGTTGATAGCACTGTGTAGCACAGGCACTTTTTCTTGACCCAGGAACAAAACCAATCTGTCCTCAATGGCTAGTACACTTGAGTGTTACCGGTCTTCCAGGATGGTATTAGTCAGTGGGCTGAACTCTGATGATGGCTGATAAAATAAATTAAGGAAGCAGAAGCTGCTTGACTTTCTCTTTTAATCAGTAACTCTAAAACATTTCAAAAATTAACCATGCTGTATAATTCGTAGAAAAGGCTTCAAATAACTTTGCCATCATCTCTGGGCCCAAACCGGGTGCTGGCAGAGATTCTGCCGCTCCCAAGGGTACGTTTGGTCTTGCAACATTTTCTCAGGAAAATCTTAACATCTCCTACCATCTCACAGCTAAGCTGGGAGTTAAGACAGGTACAAATGCCATCAAACTGAACAGGAACGGAAACAAGTCACCCCTGAGAGCTTTTGAAACCTGCCCCACTTCCCCCACAGAAGTAATTTGAGCAAGCGAAGACTTGCACTATGCACTACTCCAGGTGTTAAACTACGACAGGATTTTTTCCCACTGAACTTCTCCTCCTCCCAGGATGGAATGGTATTATAGAAGATAGCTGGCGAAAACTTGATGGCTGCTTTAAATAGTCCACGTTTCACTCCCATTTGCAGGGAGAAGGAATGGCCTTTCTGTATCTATTGGAAACTCACGTATTTCCTAGAACCAGCATGTCCCATTGGTTTTAGGAGAGCTGGAGAGACTATATTTTGCTCTAGTAACACTGGTGCATCCCTCTGAATGTTTGGGCAGGGCATGTTCCAGCATCTTTAACACAGCAGCAAGTATGTGCAGATAGTTGCCATTGGCAACTTTCTCTCTGCAGACTATCAGCACTGTCATACATGTAACAGTGCAAAACGAGGGACATCTCTTTGCAGTAAATGCTGAACATATGTAAGTCTGTGTTCTACCTCCTTATTCAGCTTATCTGTCCATCTCAGTGTCCAGTACAGCAGTAACACTGGGTGGTCCTGGACCAGCACTGGAAGGAAGTCTCTCTTTAGCTGTCTAAAATGTCAGTCTCTGTGGGTAAAAACATGGGTGGTGATACTGCAGCTTGGCTATTCTGACTGACAGGACTTCTGGAGTCCTACTTTGGGCTTCTTGGCTTTTGACACCTGCCAGCTTTTGTGCCCTGTCTGTGGCTGGGCCTTTTTACAGCTCGATGTTACTAACTTATTGCACCAAGCTTTGTTCTCCTTTCCCATGCACCCACTGCGGTTGCCTGGATGGAGGAATAACTTCCCTTCTCCCAGTTGCAGGCTCTTCAGATCATTTCTGCCTTTGCTTTTGAATTTCTGCAGAGGTTGGACAATGAAAACTTCTCCTATTGGCAGGGTCATCCTGAACCTGCTGTGAAAAGATGCTCCAAAACCTGCCTTCCACGTGGCACAGCACGCTGCCAAGCCTGTGCCGGTGATTCACAAGTACAGATGCTTTAAGTGCTTGCTTAAGTGTGATTAACGTCTGTGATGCCTGTGCCCACCTGAGCAGGGGGCTGTTTCCATGGAACAAGCCTTTGACATGACACACTCTACTTTCACACTTTGTGCAGCAACAGACAAAGCAGATTGTAAGAGAATGAGTAAAAGACGTGACAGAAGACGAACATTAGTGCTGAATGGATTAGCCAAAGGACAAGCCAAGACGGTTAAGAAGCCAGGCTGTTAGCCAGTACCTAGAAGACACGTGGGATTGTGTGGGGCTCTTAGCTTCACAGCTCTTCACCACTGATGGATTTCTACAGCAATGGAACGAAACGAGACATGAGTTGTGCATGTGCCATGGGGACAGCATGACCATCCCGACTGCTAGCCAGCCGCAGGGACACCCTGTGCAGCTCACCTAGAAAGTAATGAAGATACAGGCTTTTCAACAGAATTGCTCCTTTCCCATGGCTTCTTCCCAGAGTCTGGAAAACAAAAATAAAAAGTTACTGTTTATTATTTTTTCTCTAACGATAAAAAAATCCTGAAGTTGATTATCTTATACAGCTGCTTTCATTCAGGAGGATGAGTGACTTAGAAAGATCCAGAGAGGTGAGGTTGCTGAATGAGTCCAGTTGCCTACATTACAGAGAAAGCATTGGCAAAAAACTGCTTAGTGATCCCTTTAATTAGGGACCGGATAGTTAAACGATACTAAAAAGACATGGAACTGGAACAGTAGGAGGAAAAGCATAAATCAGTTCTACTAAGAAATACAGGCTAATTGCTGCAAGGCTTATTTTATTCAGTATACTACTTATTTATATTTTAAGTTAAAAAGCCTTAGGTTTTTTGTCTGCATAGCTGGCAGAAAATGTGGGTGTATCTAAAAAAGAGCAGTGAGACCCCCACTATGCAAATCTCGCAAAACATCCCCACAAGCTGCACTACATAACCCTTGTTACTGAAAACTCATACTATCATCCCAATCTCCTCCTATGCAAATAGTCTAAAATAAAGTGAACTGTTTCAGAGACTTGAATAACACACAACTTTATACACAAGGGTTTGCTCCTCTGTGAGGCCCTAAAAATCTCTTTGAAAGAATTATGGGCACTCCCAGGAAATTTCTAGATCTCGTTCCTCATTTATGTGCACCTCTCTCCAGGCTTCTTCCCTTTCCCTTGCAAAACACGCAAATCATGGCTTTGTTCCAAAAGGAAGCTGGAATGGTTAAATACTCATTCCCTTGGGAGAGGTTTCTTTTAGCATGTATGAAAGCCAAGGCTGATGCAAGAATGCATCTGACTAGCTGGCAGCTTATCTATTCAGATACAGTTATTTCAACTCATCATAGGAAAAACATATTTTGGTGGCTCCTTAATTTCACCTAGTAACTTTCAGGATCAGGCTTACTGCAGCAAGCTACTAGGTTAAGGAAGGATAACAGTTTGAGACCGAAACCCCAACTGTATAAACCAGGACAGCTACACTACCAAAAGTAAAGTAATATAGCTTTTTTCTCTTAGAAGAGTCAGGTGCACAATGTTGAAGACACAGATCCTCAGCTACAGGTCTGGACCCTTTAACTAAATTGCTGTATTGTCATTTTCTTGGCGGTGAAGCACCATTTCTTGCTGAGTACAGTTTTTAAAACAATAGGTATTTGGGAATTTTTCTGTTAGTTACTGCTGCTGCACTCAGAAGTAGGACAATGAACCCAGAGTCTAGAGGAGGTGGAGAAGACTAGATTCAGAAGACAACTAAACCACTAGTAGTTAGACTTAATACCTGATGAATTTTGCTGCTGCTGGGTGGGACCTCGTGTACTGGGCGAAGGAGAGGTGCTAGCATCATCCTACAAAGAGAAAAACGGGACATATTACTCAATTCTGGAGATGAAGCGCAGAGTCCTCTTCTACTCTGGAGACCAGCTGCAGCACAGGTGGTACAAAAGCAAGTTTCCTCCAAGCATGTCCAACAGGCACTGCTACCAACGTACGGCTCAAGTCCATTTAAAGTTTAACCTTTCTTTCCTTTTAGTATGGCAAAGAGCATCCTTTTTATTTTTTGCTAACATGGACACCTTTTCATCATTCCACTGAATCACTCTCATCCCTGTATAACAAACCAGGCTGAATTACCACTCTAACGTGCTGGCTACTGTTGTCTAAATACAAACCACCTGTTTCCCAGATTTAGAAGCTCTCTGTGATATGGAAACTGAGCCACCTGAAGGAACAGTAGGTCAGATCCTAGCCTTTTAGCCCAGGACAGCCACTGGTATCAGTGAGGGTAGTCCAGGTACTAACAGAATGTGACTAAATCAATCAATACTCCTCCTAAATAGAAGATTAAACACTACGTCACAGATTTGGACTCTTTTTTCTGGGATTTATGTGTGACAGGTCATAAAACATTCACCCATATATTTGACATGTCAATATTATTTAGCAGCCCTCAAAACACACTCGGGCAAGGCATTAACTGTGCATTGTAAAATGGAATTGCACCAGTTTGACAGAAGATACCCCCACCACAAAGTGTACTCAAGATACACATTAAACAGATGTTCTCTAAAACACCTTTCTAAACAGTTTGGTGCTATCAAAAATTTTGATTGGGGATAACACCTAATGCAGAGCTTCAAGGAGAGAGAACAAGGGGAAGAAAGACAGGAGAGGCTGAATAGTTAGAAGCTAAATGGTGCCTTTCATCTCTTGAGTGTATGGTTCAAAACCAGCTTTGGGGCAAGATTAAGAGCAGTGGTTGCATAGCAGCATCAAGGGTTCAATAGGCAAATTCCATGCTTCAAGCACCCCTCGAGGAACGTGCAAAAAATAGCTGCTTTTCTCCTTAAACAGTGCAAGTGCTTATTCCTGCTCTTGCTACAAACCTTTCAGACCTGGGCGAGACCTGCATTTTCTGAATGGTGTTCCTGCGGAGCAGCTCTTACCTTGTCTTTGGAGGGAATATCTCTATATAGGTGATATGAGGCACACACTGTATGTATACTATATTATAATATATGTATATTATGAACTTGTAGCCATGGCAGAGAGCCTTCACAAGGGTACAGGTTAGCAACAGGAATGTTGTATGAGCAGCAGCCCAGAAAAGCACCACACGGGAAGGGACACAGCGTAATTCCTGGCCTCTCTTGAAACTGGAATGATCTCCCATGAAAAAATAAAAAAGTGTTTTAATCTGCATGTTGAACTCAAAATAGCTGCATCAAGTTCAGTGTAAAGACTGAGTCAAATCAAAACTCTTGTTTAATTGCTTTTGTGGACAACATACAGACAGAACAGTTAAAATAGAAGTGAATCACAATTCCCTAAAGTTATCCAAATTCTATCTGATTTTAGTGTAAGTATCATGAATGCATATTTTAACTTTTGAATGGACTAGTGGTTAATACACTGTTTCCCCTTCCCCCCTGAGACATGTTTTATGTGCACTCTGGGGTCCAAAGTGAGCCGATTCTTGCTTTGCGTGGAGGATGGCAATCCAAAGTTACACCACATGGTTGATGATCCACTTCAGCTTAGCTGAAGCCACAAATTTAAAATAAGAAACATGGACTTGATCTCAAGTTGACTTGCCAGAAGGTTCAATGCATCTTCTTAAGGGGCAAGAATCTACCGTGCCCCACAACACTCGGATCAGAGCATGAGAAAGCGCCTATTAACCTGGTTTGGACAATGCCTCACCTATGAATAAGGCGAGAATTCTTGTTTATAGGGTGCTGTTCCCAGAAAAGGTGGAAGCAGTTACATTAGCTTTTGACTGAATGTGCAAATCTATTCTTGGATCAGCACTGCTTGTCATTGCCTGCCACACAGAGTGAATGAGCACAGGACTTTGGATTACAAGGCGGCACATCAACATATTTGCAAAAGCAGAACAGTGAGGAGTCTTTCACTTACGTTTTGGCTTTCCTCTTCCTTTTTATCAGCTGGCTTGTCTGACTGCGACGCTGCTTTCCTCCTTTGCAAAGGAACATGAGATAGGACACACAGTCAACCGTCTAGAAACACATCCTCCACGTGGGAAGGCTGATTCAAGCTCTGGTGGGAGTTATTATTTACTTAGTTCATCCTAGGGAACATGACAAAGGCTGGATGTGTTTGGTTGCGTGGGATCGGGGTGGAGGTGAGGAATCCAGACCTCAGTGATTATGACTCAGGGAGAGGGGCAATATTATGAGGTGGTGTTTAACAGAGGAACACAGGGTGCAGAGCATAGGGAAATGTGTCGCAGAGGAAGGAAGGAAGCACAGCTGGGTATGAAACTGGGTGAGAAAGGGATGGCTTCTCTCTAGGGCTCAGGAGGTGGTGGCTCCTGTGTCCTACACAGGAGGAAAAACCCAAACCCCCACAGGGGTTTCTGAGGACCAACCCAACCCTCCGCAGGTAAGTCAGGTGGGTATTGCAGTGATGACACTATGTTCTCAGCCAGCTCCAATATCCTTTTCCTACCTATCCTGTATCCTCCCATTCCTGTTCCCACCCTGAGAAAGGGCTGTGGCAGTGCTCCCATGTGATGGGAAAACAGTCAGAAAAGCCCTTCAACCCAGGTCCATCCTCACTGGGAAAGATCGGGCACCATTTCTGCTCAGCCAAGACCCCTGCTGCCTCCAGGGTGGGAAAGCCCTGGCTGGAGACCAGGAGCCAGGAAACGAGTGCAGCAGCCTGAGTTTTCAAGTGCCTTTGGTGAGTGATGGGAGATTATTGCTGTCTCAAATCCAGTTCAAAGGCAGCAGGGCTCCCGAGCCCTGTCGCCCCAGGACTGGCAGTGTTGGTGGTCCCTACAGAAGTTGAGTGAGGACCTGAGACCCTCACTCTGTCCTGCGTCCCGAGGAGGGGCAAAACTCTCCGAGAAGCAAGTAGCAAAGAGCTGCAATCCATCCACTGGAGCAACTGGACATGAGAGTAAACAAAGATGTTGGTTGTTTATTTTTGAAGAACGCATGGTAAAACTTCTTGGGTGTTAGCCACACTGGCTGGAGTAAAGAAAACCAAATGCTTGATTTTCAAGCCCTATTTAGGGTCTAAACAGTACTCAGACAGTGCCAGGTACTGATTGTCTAGACATCCAATTTCTCATTTTAGACAATTAGGGGAACTGCAGGTCTAGTCTCCGCATGGATTTTGGTTGTGATGATCCATATCCTTATCCACCTGTGAACACTACCTTTAGCAGATGTTTTTTAGAACGCCAACAGGTTTTTCATTTAGTCTTGCTTCTGAAGTGGACAAAATTCATCTCACAGAAAAAAAAATAAATCCCAAGTGGCACTTAAAAAGGCTTCTGAGTTTCAAAACACCACCACAAGTTTGTCAAAGGATTTTTTTTTTCATCTCACTGGCAAAACAAAAGCCTCACTGGATTCACAAATTGGAGGATTTGATGTAAATTTGACAAAAAACCCAGAGGAGTAAAACACATGTGTGTGTTTGTAGGACACAGTGCTCTGTGGGAATTATTTTCAGCTATTCAACTGCATTAATAATTTTACTAGATCAGTAATAATTTTTTATAGTCTTTCTCTAATGTTTACTTGATACTTCTGAGGAAAAAAGGTTATAATGATTACAAACCTGAGCAAAATATTTGCCAGGGTAAGAGACCAGTGTTAGATTTATGTCCTGCCACAAACTTAACTGGGCTAGAAATGATAGCGGTTTGTGAGATAGTTCATTATTCTGCTTGCACTTCAGTTCTGAAGCAAAGGGCTGCTCTCACGGGGGCCACTAAATCTAGAGCGCCATATTTTATACCACCTGAACTCTCAGAAGTGTTTTCCTCCGTTACTTACCCAGCATTATACACACTCCCTGTTTCTGAGCATGTGGTTTTCTGCTCAGAAAAGGGCCCCTGAGATCCCCTGCTCATCACTCAGTGATTTCTGTATTGAACACGCTCAGTTTAAAAAACATCTTTTTTTCCTCCTGGCTGCCAGCTCGGTAAGAGCAACCTGAAACACAGTGCCAGGTTCTTCCTTTCTCTGTGTCATCCCACATAAAAAGGGTTTTGCAGCCAAAAGAAGTCCTCTCAGTATCAGTTTAACAGCATGCACCGATTGCACCCTTGACTGACACGTGTATTTCCAATGACTTCCATGGCTTTGTGAAGCAAAATTTAGGAGACAATTCTGTTGCTGTCAACTCCCTGGGAAAGGATTTGCAGCTCACTTATTTTCAGAGTAGAGGCAGCATGGTGCTCGTGGCAGTACAGGTGCTTTTGTTAAGATAGGGAGGGGATTCGACCCTGAATACTTGAAGACAACGAATCCCACTGCCGAAAGCCATTTGAGACTAGAACCACAGAAATTTGTAGGATTTCTATATCCAAGCATATGAGATGTCCATTTAGCTTGCGTGCTCGAACAGAGCTAGTTACCCCAGCATCTAGTCACCGAACCTTACTTTTCTTACAGACATCTTCCAGTTCAGCAAGGTCAGTCTTGATATGTAGCAGTACAAAATAGATCAGAAGGTGAACCAATAAATAACTATTAAAAGCTGTTAAGCTATTTTAATTCTGAAAAGAGAGAAAATTATCTATTTGGTATTTTACACTGCTGGTAACTTTTTATAGTATTGTGTATTTATTTAATGCTTTCCAAAGGATTACATCCACAGTCCATGTTCAGAATTCCTTCTGAAATGACTAGGACATGGAGGAAAGTTGGAATCAGATCCTCTGAACTGGGAACTGTTTTTATACTAGACAACATCATTTAAAAATTCCATGTCTGCGCACTATACAACTGTACCTACTCTTCATTATTTTACTCATCCTTTTCTTTCACTATTCATAAGTTAAAAAAAAATTTAGAGCTAAAAATAAAACATCTAACACTAGGAACGTGGGAGTATGACAGAACATTACTGATGGAATCAGGGGGAAAAGAGAAGGAAAAAATAATTGGAACAATTGAGTGCCTTTTAACAGCTTGGTACATCACAACTTGCTTTATTGGAGAATAACTTGGCTAGCCTGTCTGAAACACACTGAGAATCGATAATAATTTACCTGCCAAGATGTTGTCCTTTTATTGCACTTCTGTTTATATTTTTGGGCCCAACATCCTGAATGTGCTACATAAAGAATGATTTGTCTAAGCTCCTCTCATAGTTTACTCTTTCCAAAAACAGTAACTTTGAAATAGATCTGGTAAAATGGCAAAACCACAGTGGATATATTTATCACCATCTTCAAAGGTTACCACGCTGCAGGATTTGCTACAGCAGCTAAACTCTGCCAGGTATCATTGCTGCAACATCTACATTTCATATTAAAGGCCAGATGATGCTGGTGACTAACATCTATGCAGGACCTGTCAAATTGCAAAGAAGCACCAAAGTGACCCATTGCTAACCAAAAATGACAGCACCTTGTTCCACAATTTGCTGCAGAGCTCCTGTTAGTGCTTACTTGTAGTCTAAGTACAAACCTTTTTGCCAGTAATTTATTCATTTCTTCCATTAGTCCTCCTCCGCCTCCTCCGCTACTCGTTCGATTGGCATCGCTCTTAGAGACCCCACTGGGGCTGGACCCTCCTGAACCATCTTCTGGCTTAAGACAGACATCAACATTGCAATTAATGAAAAGTTTCATTTACAACCACACCCTTAATGATTAGTTTTCCTAATTATTAGGAGCAGCAATCACAATCACAGCCCAAAACCAGAGATAGGATGTGTTCTGCTTTGGGAAGAAGACCCACATGGACCTTACTAAAACCAGGACAGTCTGGGTGGGGCAACTATATGGGCAAGTGATGAAAAAACCTACAGTGCTGTTAGTTCATGGTTATGTTTATGCATGGTTATGCAACCCTTACCTAAGTGGACACCTATTGACATGAGGCCTCAACAGTCTACACTGCTTTTTGTAAGCATGGTGCAGTTTTAACCACTTACAATGACCGAAAACACTAACAGATAGTACAACGGTGGACTTTGCAGAAGTAATGAAATCCTGGCAATATGAGAACTTGCAGCCATTTGCTAATTCATATTTTCTGAAAAGCAGAAATTCTACCAAACATTTCCTGCTCAGCTTTATTTGCACTACAAACTCACATTTAAAAGTTCACCTAATGGTCAGCTGAAGCATGTTTCACCATGTTTCATGCTGGACTCGCAGACCATTACACCAAGCTGCGCCAGGCTTTCCCGCAGTGGAGAACAGCCCATCAGAGAGTCCCAGTGCCACCTCCTTACCCGTTGAACTCTCCTTAGTTTGGCACCAGCCAGAGCCGCTGCGAGCCCTGACACTGACCCATCTTCAGTGCCAGCCCCTTGGCCGGCGCCTGCCGGCAGTGGGGGCGGCGGGGGAGGCGCAGCTCCCATGGGTGGTGGAGGGACTGGGGGTGGTGGTGGAGGTGGGGGCCCCCCGGACGAAGCAGGGATCACAGCAGCGCCACTGGGATGACCAGGTGGAAGTGCTGGGCCTGAAATGCAGAGAATACAAATTAGACGTGAAGCACAGTCTCCTCCAGCCCGTACACAAGGTCACGTTCCTGCTCCCAAGGCCATGACCTGACTGTACGACAAGTGAGCAACGCAAGGAAGCACCAAGCAGAAGAACGGGAAATGGTGGTTGCATCAATGGTCAAGCAGCTACAGTTGTGTCCTCCTGCGAGACCTTGTCACTGATAACTAGCCTTCTCCCTCCTTTTCTCCCTGGCTGGGCTAGTGTTTTATTCTGTGCTGAAATCAAAACACAGACAACACTTCCCAATTCAAAAGTGGCACCTTCTTCTGCTCCTCTCACAGCTTTCTACACGGAGATAATAAACTACATCAGCCAACTCTGTGGACTCCTGTTAACGCCAGCTTTTCACCTCATGGGCTACAGTGACACGTCCTCCTTTCTGTTGAACAGAGGGTGTGTGATCTCAGCTGGTCTTGCAAAATAATGGGGGGAGAGTCCAGCTCCAAGCACCCCAAGGTTCAGCAAAGCTCCTCAAAGCAGCAGCCTGTTGGAGGGGCTGATGGTGGGTAACTCCATTGCAGTGTTTTGCCTGTCTGTAATGGGTCAGTTGAATGAATCCACCTCCCCGAGGGTATTTCCCCACATTACGCTCTCTCAGAACAGGCTGCTCCTGATATATAATCACTTGGTCAGTAAGTGTTATTTTGAAAGACATGCAGGTTTTGACTGAGGAACGTTTGGAAACTGTATTTAACATTAGCAGCCTGGTTTTCTTCTTATCTAGGTTTTCTTACAATTCTGCTTTATTTCTCTGGTGACTTCTACCATTATTTCACACTCCTGATTCCATTCTTGAAATGAACCATAGCTGCTATTAGAAATACTTTAAATGTTTCAAGCCCTCTTTGGTTCATGAACATAATAGCTAGTAATTCATTGTGGGTACAGTTAATTGTAATTGCAAAACTACACCCACCTAACTAGAGGCCAGCCTGAGGCAAAAATTGAACTGAGTCAAAATAATGGACTGATGTGAGTTTAAAATAACTTTATTGAACTAAGTGGATTTCAAGGACTTATATCAGCTGAAGGACTGAGCCTCCAGTGGTTGCTGTAGTATTTTTAGCAGAAAGTGAAAGGAAATGTCTCAGTTTTCTTCCTTTTCTGGGCACATCATTTAAGCATTATATGTGGTTATAAACAGGAATGGATCCAAGTCACAAAACGTATGATCTGAATTGCAAATAGGCATTACTCGTAACTGTTCTAACTCCGCAGGCTTTAGACGAGAGCTAGAAATCAAGACCATATGCAAAGTGGCAGACCCAAGCTCTTGATCTGCCTGCAGTGAAAAAGGTTTGCTGGAACAGTTATAGTGACAAGCCCTCAACTATAAATGCAGTTTATACCAGGAAGAGAGTTTCTAGAATGAAATAAATTACACAAGCACAGGGGATTCTGGGTAACTATAACAAAATCCATGTTATATGTTTTGCTGGTAGCAGAAATACCACTTAAGAAAAAAAATAAAAATCACAACCTCTACCAATATTGCTACACACACAACAAGTCTACCACAGACCTGGCCTCCAGCTTCAGAAGAGCCCATCCGCTATGTTGGGACCAGCTGAATATAGCTTTTGTACAAAGCCCATTGCCAAATGCAGTTTGATTCTGCTGAATGATAAGAATCTCCTTCTGGGCTCATACAGTAATAATATGCATTGCAACAACCCAGCTACAGGGCCCTGGCCCTGTAATTCTTGCTTTTTGCCTTGCTTTTAGCTCAGAAGGTCCCTGGACCAGTCCTGAGTGATTTCGGTACTTTTCCACCTTGGTTTCAGAAATCACATACAGCAGGAGTAGCCTTGGGTCTCTCAGCCCTTTTTCTAGCAGTCACGAGCAGTGCCAACGGGGCTTTTTAAATAGCTGAAAGCTAAGGCTTTATATAGGTCGCAACTCATTCAAAATCAGTACTTACTCAAGTGGGCAATGGCTGATGAAGTCATGTAAGGAGGGGTCCTCCTGGGCATAGTCACCTCAGACACAGCAGCGTAAGGGGGAGGCAATGGAAGACAGTGTGACATGGGCTGATGCCACTGCTGTGGAGGACGAGATGATGGATGGGAGGATGGGGAGGGAGCCTGGCCAGAGGAGCCGGGGGGGCTGGCAATGGTGGGCAGTGGGGAGGAGGGTGCAGCACCTAGGTGTGGAAAGAAGGACCCATCCATGCTTTTCACCTGGGTCCCAGAGGGGCCTAAAGCGATTTGTTCTTCAGGATGGCCATTCAGAGATACGTTTGCTGAGGTCTCCTGGCCTGCTTTATCTGTGGGTCCCCTGACCCTGTCAGGTGGGACAGGAATCACAGGCAGGATGGTGGGACTGTGCGGCTGCAGGACATCACCCCTCTGTGGAGGTGGTGCATTTGTGACGGGGGAAGCAGAAGACCGAGGAGAGCAGGAAAGAGAAGAGTGCCTGAGAAGCTGGTGAGAGGTGAAGGGAAAGTGGGAAGGATGGGGAGGTGGTGGAGACAGCGAGGTTCGCCTGATGCCTGGCGTTATGGTCCTGCGGTTTGGGCAGGCTGGAGGGGAGGAACCTGGGGCTGTTGGCAGCTCGGAGGCCGAGTGCCTGTGCAGGAGCTGCGGGGACTCTCTGGCTCTCCGCGCGGATCTGAAAGAGGATTGACTGGCAGGCTCGGGGACAGCAGGTGCCAAAGAGACAGCGCTGGCATGAGGTGGTGGTGAGGGCACAGCACTAGAGGCAGGAACACTGCAGTTACTGCAGGTGGGAGGAGGAGACTGGGGCTGAGAAGGGAGAGAGCACAGGCTTATCTGAAGGGTGGAAACTAAAAGAACAGAAAAGATAAATGAAAAGAATAAGATGGGTTCGCGGCAAGGAACGAAACCAAGGCGAAGCGGAATAGAGAAAAAGGAACCGCAAAGTAAACTCAAATAGAAACTCAAACAAAGCAAAGAGGATATGGTCAGGCACTGGCTTGGGGGGTTCCAACCCTCGGCAGAACCAGAGGGCTGTGTGGAGCAGGACCCCGGCAGCACAGGATGGGCTGTGTGCTCCCCCCAGGACCGTGAGGAGCAGGACCTTGGCAGCATGGACAGGGCTGTGTGCTCCGGTGCCAGCAAGGCTCCTCCAAGCCCTGAGTGAATCTGAGTCAGGATCACAAGCATCACCCTTGCAACCAGGGGCAGCTTTAAGGGACATGCTGAACACAGTGGTGGCAACCTCATAGCCAGGGAGGGGACAGCCAGAAGCCCCCGGGAGCCATGTCCTGCTCCTTGTGGGTGCCAAGGCAGGATTTTGGCTGTTTCCTATGCAGAATAGCACATAGTAGCCTCTGCCAAAACAGAGTCCAACAACTTCTGACTCTGACTAAGGCATGTGTGTATGTCCGAGCTGTTTCAAGTCAAAAACTAAAAAGTTGTAACTGTTGAGGAAAAACATTTCACTCGTGGCCAGATTAACCGAAAAAACTTCCCCAAAACAAAAGCCCAAACACAAGATGGCCATCTTGGCTTGCTTGCTCTGCCTTCTTTCAGAGAAGCAAAGCCATACTTTGTAGTTATAAGCTATTCCTGTCATCTCTTCTCTCAGCTTAGTGCAACTTAATATGCTATAGAAGATTTTTGTAAGCTCATTAAATATATATTTTTTTTCCATTAAGCTCACAGAAGACTCCTCACTTCATGACCACAAAATCCCCACCAATGGGCATCTAGAGCTCTATTTTCCTCTGCGCTGTAGTTTGCTTTGTGCTGCAGAGTGATGGGGAGCGCCTGACCTGGCACATCCAGCACGTCCACCCCTTCGTGCTGACATCCCCTGGAAACATGGAGTCACTCTTGCAGTGGCTGTGCTACCTGCTGTCCTCGTGGGTGTGCAAGAAGCATGGCCAGGCCCCTTTGGGATGCCTAAAATCCCCCTCAGCTGTACAAGTTTTGCATAGCTCCACCTGCATGCTCCAGACCTGAGCCTCTGCGAAACAACACAACCATGCCCGAATGCATGTAAGTCCCTAGCTGAAAATGCTTTAAAATCTAATCATAACTACAACCACTTTTAGCAGTCTAGCTCTTGTATAGCACCACACAAAACCCAACTACAGCTAGAGGAGACAAGCAGGGAGAGACTATATCTGCTTGGTTTGATACGTGCCTGTAGTAGAGGTTCTTCTTTCCAGAGATTCCTGGCGCTGTTGCTGTTGCTCCATCACTTGTCTAAAACAGCAATGAAAAAATCCTCGGTCATTATGTATTCTTTACAATTTTGAGTAAAAGCTTTATACACTGAGAAGCACTCAAGCTGTATGTCTTGGGTGGTGTGAGCCAGTCCCTCGCAGAAATGCTGTTCCCGTGAGATGGAGGTGGGTTTGATTTTACTTGCCCTGGCCGCAGCGGTGTCATTGCACACGTTGGGGAAGCATAACCAGGACATTGCCCTGCACCTGCAGGACACTGCAGGGGCTGGTCGATCCATTTAAGATAACTCCTCAACGGGCTCTGCAGGAGGAGTAGTCAGTGCCCCAGGTCCAGGAGAGCGCAGCAACCATGCATGTCATTAACCTGAAGTGCATGAGCATTGCAAGAGAAGAGTAAGGGGTGTCTTGCATAAAAGGACAGATATTTTACTGAGTCTTTTATGGATCAGGAGCCCAAAGGGCTTGTAGCTAAAATGAAAATATAAGGAAGCTTGATCTGCATTTAGGTGCTGACTGTACAAACCCTATTTTGTCCAGCTGCACAACCTGGCTGACAGCTTGCCACCTGATGCCCCAGCACAGCCGCCCCTGTGCCGGCCAGTGTGGCCATGGGGACCACGACCGCCGCGTTTCCTCCGCAAATGCAGATCGCAACACTGCACTGCTGCTTTTTTGGCACCTTTCCCCCCAGGAGCTGCTAGCTCCCGTGCTACCCAGGCCTGGTGTCCCATAGGGAAATGCACTGCCAAGCCTTTTCCCAAGGTCTGCTTTCCAGAGATGTGCAGTTCCCAGGGTCTATCAGCAGAGGTCTTCTCTCGCACGCTGTAACACTGCTGCAGAAAGGGCTCTCGCTCTGACCCCTGCCACAAACCCTCCCTGGCATTTCTCTTGTTAAAAAGATTGAGAGCTAAAAACTAGACTGTTTGCCAGGCTTTCTACCATGCACATGGATATGGACTAAATATTTCACCAATACTAAAACACAACTCTGTAATTACCTTACTGGAGCAGCTGGTAATAAGGTTTATTATAATTTCTTCCATGATTTCTAGGCCAAGTTTGCCTTGAATTTGTTCCACATATGTTTGGGCCAGTCTTAATTGTATGGAGATTTCTTTTTTCTGTAACAATTTTACTTCATGGTCTGTACAGTAAGGGAAGCTTAACTCTAGGCAACACTTCTATTTTGACTCCTTATGTAATATTTTAGAGAGATCTCCCTGTTACATTTTGTACATATTTAAGAATGTCTTAATTTGCAAAACAAATTTCCCATATTTCAATTCTAATTCAATAGATGGGACAGGAAAATCCACGATTATAATTATTCGCTGTGGAGGGATCAATCCTAAACTGGTTTTATATTCAGGACATGCAATCCATCGAACACTGGCAATTTCTGGAAAACCATTATAGGCAGCTGAGAAAATTATTGTATGTGCAAAGGGGAAACAGTTTTGAGGAACAGCCTTAGTTAGCTGATTCAACTGGTTTCATTTAAGCTATGACACTTTAAACCAAATAAATAGAAATCTTTACTTCAATACATGCCCTGGCTCTTAATTGATAGTTATGGGCTGAACACATATGCAACAGCATCAACTGCACTGCTAAAATTTCAAATGTAAACACATATACTAAGAATTTCCTAAGCATACCATCTGCTACCTTAGCTTGGCATTTATTAGCAAAATTTGATGATGAAGAACAACTTGACACATACCTTTTCCTCATTAAACCTGGGGGAAATTCTAGGTTTATCTGGAGGACAGACTTGGAAAACTCCAGCCTGACAGGCCAGGAAAGAAATATGGGTAAGAAAGATGTCTCCAAGTTGCTAAAGCCGCTGCAGAGCCGATACAGGTGCAGGGTGCTCCCCAAAACAAGGGTGAGCCACTACCATTTGAAGCTGTTGGGGTTCATGCCAGCCCTGTCTGCCCTTGGGCAGAAGCAGTTTATACGTACCAAATACACTCTCCCACACATGCTAAAAGGAGAAGTTCTTACACTCTTAGGAAGTCAAATTTATTCCAGTGGAACTAAGTAAAGCCTGAGATTGGCACAAGGATGCTTAAGGAGTATGCAAGGAGTAAAGTACAAGAGGGGACAAATTACTCTCTGACTTAAAAATATATTTTAACATTTGTGTAAAGGTCTCTAAATAACCTTTTAAACAGGCAGATTTGCAGGGTAGTTACCATAACTTCATTTCCTTGCCTGCTTATAAGATGTTCAAAAAAAGCTAGGCCTAAAATTAGGTCTGCTATATGCTTAAAGAATGCATCAGCATAATTAAAGCTGAAAATCCTCTACTGCAGATGCAGTAATATCTAAGTGCATCTACTGGCATAGCTTATTTCAGTCCAGTGGAGCAAAAGAAGCTTTCCCAGAACCATGTGCTCTGTAGCAGTTGAATAATACCTACCCAAAAGGCTTTTACTGTCTCTAAATGAAAAACAATAAATATTTTTTTTTCTGATGTAGTTAAGCTGCTCACACTTTAAATGTACAGACTAGACAGCTAAATTTGAGGTCTGAGTTACATATGGTCTGAAGAATCAGTGATTTCCACTGGTTAAATGAAGAGCTGGATCAGGTCTTTCAGCCAGGCGTTAGGGACAGGCGGCATCCCCCCTGCCTCTAGGTGAGCAGGAGCTCTCCTCTGACCTTTATGATAGCTCTGGTATCCCAAAATAAATCTTACAAATCTCAAGCGAAATATCATTACCCGCTGACCCATTTAATAGTCATATGTAAATCCCTACTAAATCTCAGGCCATTCAGAGTTATTCATAAAGGCGC